ATCCACCTTTTCATCCAAAGGCACAATTTACATAGCCTGCTTTTAAAGCACACATGATCTGATCTAATTAAGATTTCAGGGAAGCTCTGGACTTTGCTTTGTGAAGTGGATAATTGCTGTGTTTCTTTAAAAGCATCTGCTGGGGGCCCAGTGAAAATAAAACCCTGAATTTTTCGGTGCTGGTTTAATATCCATTAAGAAAGCAATTAGCAGATTGCTAAGAGTAAAACCTTTCTGCCATTTGTATTAGCAGAACACTCATCTGCCCGTGTTGGGTGGCAACTAATTAAAAGTAGCAACGCCACTTGCTTCAATTCATTTTCAGTCACATGAATGTCGCTCGGCTGTTTTTAAAATAGTTGCTATAGTCTTGTCAGTAACAAAATGTTTTTAAGTTTTTCATCTATTATTTATGTTTTCTCACTATTTTAGCTTAATTTTTATCATAAAAATGTTTAATAGTTTAAGTTTTAGTTAACAATTACAGTACAACACTGCTTCCAGGTAGTGTACATTTATGTATTCGAGTCTAATGCAACTTTATATGAAATTCTTATTTGTATTTTTTTTTTTGCCACCGTTTTGAAAATGGCAATTCCAAATTAGTGAAACCACTAGTGAAAGTGCTGCTTTATCTAATTTAATAGATTTTTTTTTATTTCTTCAAATCCATTATCCATCCATGAATCTCATGTTCAGTGACATTACCACTGTGTGATTCACAGTTAAACAGTGCAGAAATAACCAAGAATGCACATGAACATCATGTGCACAAGCACTGTCACTCGCACCAACTGTGAATTTCAGCACGTCATTCACTCATTTGCTTGTCACGCTGTATTTATTATCCCCTATTCAGACAGGTTTTCACTGAGGAGTTTGTGTTTTGCAGAAAATCCTGTTTAATCCCATCCGAATTGAACATGTCCGGCTAACTCTACTCCTTCACTCAAAATATATGGTTGACCTTGTCAAGTTCACTACCTGGTGCACCTTAATTATAGATTTCAACCTTTTTGACAGGGTAAAATAACAGTTGGTGGTTCCAGTACTGCTGGCATCCCATCCAATGTACAAAAGTAAATAAATAAGGAAAGTCTGATCGCAAACTCTTCTGAAATACTTTAAAAGTCAAGTATGGTGCTCATTTGATTGAATTCCTCCCTTAATTATACACAATTAATTATCTCATTATGTAAGTCTTGCACATTTCAATGGGTTTCGATCCTGTCCGAATCAAATCACATAATAATTGTAAATGAAACATTGTTTGGAAAATTAATCCTATCCGAAGAGTGCTTATCGGATTTCAGAATTAAAAGATGGAATGGAAACAGAGCAAAATCCAGCGTTTTGGCTGTTAAACAACAAAGTGCTCAGTCTCTGATTTATGAGGAGCTGCTTTTAACCACTTTTCCCATGCACTACATGGATAAGCTTATTTTCTGCAGTCTTACACAAGGCTTTCTTAAGGATCTTTATTTAGGGAACACAGCTGTGCTCTTTTCTTCCTCAAAATAAAACACTCAGTCTCAGAGAATAAAAGTATTACCCTCACAAGATGTGCTTTAAAGACAAAGCCAAGCATATGCTGCTGCTCAGAGCATTCTTTTGAAACAATGACAAATTGCAACTGAACTTAATTTGTGATCGCTGATAGATGTGTGTGCTTTCTTCCCACCAGACACTTCTATAAGCAAAGCCACTTAATCAAACCTTTCAACGATTCTCAACGACAATTAAGGCACATTTGTGTTAACTCTCCTGTACACATTAGCTTATGGCTATACTAGCACCAAATGCTACTTTCAACCAAATGATAGCATTGAATGTGATTTGGATCACTTAGATAAGAGCCTACCTAAATGTGCATTCTTTCACTGCTTACAAAATCAAATACTTCTCTACTATATAGTATGCAAAGTACGCCAACAAAATAGTATGTCCAAATACCTGTACATAGTTTCCAGTAAAAAAGTGAGCGACAAATATCTGGATGTCCTACTACTTCCGATGAAACTGTACTATCCCATGAGGCCACAGGAGAGGATTTATGAATGGCAGTGAAGCAATTTGAGTCTGGCAAGTCTGGAATTTTGAAATGGAAAATGTGTAGGAACCCTGTACCCTTATTCATACTATATAGAACATACTTTTGTATACTTAACAGTCACACAGTAAATTCAGATTCAAATTCCTACTCAGATAGCATGCAATTTCGGATGCAGCGCATGTCTACGTTTTTGTTCAGATTTTGCCTCTACTTCATTTCCGATGTTCTTGAATGTTATTCTGATATCTAATTGGCTGGATGAATAAAGGTTTTTTTTTTTTTTTTTTTTACTGCAGCCACTTCATACTAAAGCAATCTGCCCCCAAACCTTTTTAAACTTGGCTTTGTGATTGTAAAATTCAAAGTTTGCCTTGATAAACGCTACCTTTTTATTTACTATATTCAATTCAAATTCAGAAATATAATTAGAACTTCAAGGTCATCAATTCATTTCTGAATGATGCACAACCCTGGCAAACAAATGCATTTAACAAATTACTAAAGTGTTGTTGCCTCTATGTTGCCTATTCATAACATACATATTCATACTCGCATACCTACGGTGCATTCTTTTTGGTGTACGGCTGGTGTTTGGTTGGGCTTTTTGTTTTCAAGTGCCATGTGATCCCCACGTTTCCCTTGTGTTCATGCCATGTGTTTTTTATGTTATTTTATTTGTATTATGCTCTCATTTCATTGGCTTCATTACATTCAGGTGTTGCTCAAGTGCTCATTGGTAGTCTGTGTATTTATAGCCCTGATTTTGCCATGCGTGTTTGTCAAGCCTTATCTTTTGATGCTGTTGTCAACTCCTGTGAGTTTCATGTCAACACCATGCTTTAGTCAAGTTTAAGTTATGTTTATTTTCAAGTTGTTGCTTTGTTTGTACACTTTTTTAATCATGAAATAAACTGCATTTGGGCTCAGAAAATTGACTCGGCTTCAGTGGAACCATAACAGAAAGCTCAATGTTACACAAATTAAAACAAAAGCAAATGGCATGAACAAAAGGGAAACGTGGGGATCACATGACACATGAAAACAAAGAGCCCAACCAACCACCAGCCTTACAATAGGCAGCCTTTCATTTATGGGATAAAAAAAAAATGCACAAAGTAACATGTGCTGGTTTCTTGTCCCCTCCAGCTGTCCTCAAGTGTGAAAAGAAAGCAGAAACCTATTTTGATATGTCTCTATTCGTCTGTTCTTTCGGAGAGGCATTTCAAGGTGTTACTCTTAGCTGTCAGTGGTACATGCACTTCCTGTGGCAGCCTGTCAGAGGAAAGTGTGGCCAGTATCATCACTGATGATAGAGCACAAGTGCCTGTCCAAATACAGCATAGCTTTTATGGATTTTTAGCTGTTTTTGTATGCATTTACCTGTATCATGACTCTGACTTTAATAGAGAAATATGGTACAATGTGGCCTAGACAAACCTGTTGACACGCTTATTCAATCAGAAGGAGGAGCATTGTGGAGATTTGGTTAAAAGGTCAAAAAAAGAAAAGAGAAAGCTTAAGCAAAAGTGACTGGATGCCTTTTTTAGAATCAATCGCTCTGCTTTAATGCGCATGAGGTTTGGAAAGCTGGACTTCTCCTTGGGATGACCCAGTTTCCCAGAATTTCACATATAATCCACTCTTAAACGAATAGTTCAGCTAAAAAAATGAAAATATATGTGCTCCTCATGCTCTACTTACGCATGCAGTGTGAAGTCGTTTGATGTTATATGATAGCTTTATATGAATCAAAATTATACTTTGTTATTCCCTTTTCTAAAATCGTCCCCTCTGGACTCCTTTTGTGCTACACGGAAGAAAGAAAATCATATAGGTTTGGAAGGACATGAGGGCAAATAAATAATGACCGAATTTTCACTTCAGGTGTACATTAATAACTTTAATATTTTGGGTCGCTTGAATAATTTTAAGCCATCTTTATATTATCTGCATAGAGATAGCAATGTTGGGAATGTCATTAGTATAATTCATTTGAATTAATGTATAATTTTCATTAGTGCCCCTTGCCTTTTTCTTCAAATCCAGCATGTACAAAATGTTCTTGTATCCCTGACCCAACAATACAGCTACCAGTATCAATGATTCATAAAGCCAAAGTAGCCTATCTTTCATCCATTCAGTTTTTCTTTTCTTCCAGGAAATGTGTTTAGCTTTTATGGTCATTCGTTTCACTGTCGCATATTGCCCAAGGTTGTGAGATGGATGCTAATTCACGGTCTTCCCCAGCACCCAGACTAATTAAACATACAAAACAGCTGTGAATGAGAAGATATCACAATTGGTGTGGATTCTAAACATTAGAAAAAGACAAATTGGCCTGGTTGGTGCCCACCTCTCCCAGCACATATTTTGTTTTCTCTTTCACATCAAAAAGAATCATCTGTTAGTCTGACCATAGAGTCATCTATCTCTGATATTTCTGTCTTCTTTCATGAATGGGATTTCTGAGGCTCAAAGAACATTGTGCACAAACACTTTGAATTTTGGATATCCCAAAGCTTTAGAAAGTGCTCTGGGAATACATGGCCCATAAACAGTGCAACTTCTGACAGATGAAGCAAACACTTTCTCTTTTATCGTGACAAAGACATCCTGCAGTGCAATACAGATAAAGTTGCGCCTGTCATTTTTTGTCACACTGAAAAATGAAGCATAAGGCAGGTCCATGGAGATGAAGGCCATTGATTGTTCAATTAAACAATACAGTAAATAAACAGATGCAATATTAAAAGCAGGTCCCAGTAATGAAATCAATTGAGATACTTAACAACATATGAACATCATATCATTGCAATGCACTTATATAGGAGAAGGCTAGATACGTTGTTAGATGCCCAATTGCACCACAATAACATTGTTATGTTAGCACAACCATTTAGCCTTCTATAACTGTAATTAGATTTCACAAAATAATGAGATATCTTACCTGTAGACCAAGGTGTCATCTGCCGAGCTATTGTACTGAATCTGATACATCCTGATTCCAGGGAAATGTTGTTGCGAAGGCCACCTGATGAGTGCAGAATTTGCCGTAAGCTCAGCAAGTACCACCTTCCTCTCCTGAGACCTGGTCTCATTGCTGACTGATGAAGTCGACTTAGCAGAGGTTAGAATATCGGATGGACCTGGATCAGGTTCTCGGATCCGGTTAGTGCTGTTAGCTAAGTGTGGCAGCGGGCTGACCACCAAATCCACCGTGCCTGTAGATTCCCCCGCAGCATTTGACGCAATGCAGGTAAAAACTCCTGTATCCTTCAAGGAAGTGATGTTGATCTCCAAGCTCCCGTTGCTAAAGCTTAAAGTACGGGAGGTGTTGGCGATTAGACGGCCCTCTGGGGAGATCCAGTGAACGTCTGGGTCTGGGTCCCCATTGGCCTTGCATTTCAGGCTGGTGGGTTGACCTTCCATGACAAAGGTTTTGGGAGATTTCCTTGTAATCACAGGGGGATCACAGATGAACTCCTCTTCTGGAATTGTCCAGAAGTACTTTGCCATAAGGTCAGGAGGTGACGCGCAAGTTTCCAGGTCATCCTCTCGCGTTACCCTTCTTAGCCAGAGTAGTTCACAGTTACAATGTAGTGGGTTCCCTCCAAAACTTAGGACGAGGGAGGAAAGGGGTGAACCTTTTGACTTGGCATAAACTGGTATCCTAAGGAACAATGGGTCAGGGGGTATTTTCTTTAGCTTGTTGGATGTCATATCCAGACGTGCTAGTTTGTGTAGGTTCGAAAAGACTCCTAGGGGGACATGCTCTATGAGGTTATGGTCCATGTTGAGAGTGTTTACATTGGTGAGGCGTCCTATAGTGTCCCATGGGATATCCACCAGGTTATTGTACGAAAGATCTAGGTCCTCAAGAGTCCCCAAAAAGTCATCAAATGCATGTGGCGAGATGTTGTGCAGTTGATTGTTGGCAAGGATAAGGTGCCGTAGGTTCGTGAGTCCTCGGAAGTGGTCGTCCATGATGACGCTTATGCGGTTACTGTCCAGGTGCAGTGCACGCAGCCGCTTAAGATCGGCAAAAGCATAAGGCAAAATCTGGCTGATGGTATTGCGGGACAACGTCAGGTGCAAGAGACTGGTCATGTTTGCAAAATCCCTCCTCCTTACTGCGGTAATAAAGTTCTCTGTGAGACGCAGCTCCACTGTACGCCGGTCGATGACTGTTGGCACAAAAAGCAGACCAGTCTTGGCACAGAGGATGGCTAGAGATGGCGACAGGTTCTGGCACATGCAACGCTTGGGGCACAGCTGCCCCGAAGCAGACACAGCCAGGACTAGTAGGGAGAAGATCAGCCACTCCATCTCTCGGGGGAACTGCAAGACAAGCAAACACAGTGTGCCAGTGTGAAAACATGTAAAATGTACTCTACAGCTGAAGTTCTAAGCCAATGACTTTGTAAAATGCAATGTCACTGTATTGGATGAATAGCCCTAATCAACAACATCACGTTGCTAACACTGGCCTAGAGTAAGGGCAATAGTTTTAAAGGATTTTTTTTTTTTTCACTATTGGTCTCTGTATACAAATCCACAATCAAATTCATGTTCTTTTTGGGATCTCAGAGATTCCAAGGCTGTATTAATACCTTGGAAAGTGTACTTAACAGTGATCAAGTGTATCAAGTTGAAATATCTTGGCTTATTTTTATTTTTTATTTATTACTTTATTTCAATAGGGTCAGTACACAAAACATGATTCCAGCCAAAAGCTGAAAAAATGCATTGCGAATACATATATACATATGTATGCATACATATATACACCCATAAAATAACGCTAGATACCTATTTTAGGGATACTTCCAACCCTGGCAGCATATACAGTATATACATGAATAAACCAATATGCGTACAGCTCTGGTTTGTTCTAAACCAGTGCTTAACCATCATTGTGAAAGGCTTTATAACATGTACTGCTTTTATTTCAATTGGCAACGTGTCAAAGCAATCAAATTGATCCCAAACAGAAAAAAAAAGTGATTAGAATGGATGGCAACCACATTTCCAAAATAGTGCACTACTTCTTTTTAGTAAAACTGAGAGGTGAGGCTTCAATAATATCTGTCTCTGGGCTTTGACTAACTCAGGGAAGGGAAAATAATAAGTTATTTAAATTGCTCTCATTGTTTTTAGACATACATTTTTGGGGCCTCTGAGAGAGAATTTTTTTTTTATGAATACAGTATAAAGGTTAAAAACTAGGTTATTTCTTTCACCGTGCATCACAGCTTACAAGATACACTGATGTCAAAAGTAAGAATCCTTTTACCACTGCAAAAGAAGAATATGGCTTTTCAATGTTATGGTTACACAGTAATGTAGAATCAAATCATAAGTAAGTTTGTGTGGAGATGATGCAAGGTGGCAGAAATATGTAACCCCTTCAAATTACATTAGAAAGTCTGCACTGCAAAAAAAGAAGAACAACAACAAAAAAAGAAATACAGCATGTTTTTCTATTTATCAAACTAGATTCCTTCGAGTGCAAACATAGAAATATCAGAAGAAAAAAGAGGCCAGTAAAAAAAAAAAAAAAAAAAAAATCACACATATTTAATTGTTTTCTACTCTCAATCACAATACAACCAGTTTTCATTTTACAGATAACGTTCAATCAAATATCTGCACTTCATGAAATGTGTGCATCTCAGCAGGTCTTAAGGTAAGCGTAAAATAGAGATTAATCTTTGTGTATATTAAGCTGCCACGCAACAGGACTGAAACCACAGCATTACGGAAGCAAATCTGTCCTGCTGAAACAAAAAAGTATTTTGCTGAGATGCATCTTGTGAACTAGATGTATAGCTGTTATTGTGTGGTTATGCTATGACATCATACAGCTGCTCCTCTTGTTGACAATATTTATGACAGTTTCAGCTGCAATGGCCGTTGGTTTTTACAACATAGCGGTCTATGTGAGACTCGTTATTGGCCATTAAATTGTGTGTGACTTTGGAAAAAGGAATCATAAACATGGAATTAAATCATGCCACTGTCTTCAATAAGTTTTTTTTTTTCTTTTTAGGTATTAAAGGAACACTCCGACTTTTTGGGACTTTAGCCTCACCTTATCCCCCAGAGTTAGATAAGTCCATACATACCTTTTTCATCTCCGTGCGTGCTATAAGTCTGTTTGACGTGCACCGCTAGCCTAGCTTAGCACAAAGACTGGATGTAAATGGTTGCAGCTAGCATACTAATCCAAATAAGTGACAAAATAACGCAAACATTTTTCTATTTACATGTTGTGATTCGTATAGTCACAGAGTGTACAAAAAACAAAGTCACATGAGACACAGACATATTTTAACCGTATAAATACTGGGAACTATATTCTCTGAAGGCGAAGCACTGCTACTTGGGCGGAGTGATAACCGCAGCACCTGAGAAGCGCCGTGGTGAGGAGCAGAGAGCGCGTCTCAGGTGCTGCGGTTATCCCTCCGCCCAAGTAGCAGTGCTTCGCCTTCAGAGAATATATAGTTCCCAGTATTTATACGGTTAAAATATGTCTGTGTCTCATGTGACTTTGTTTTTTGTACACTCTGTGACTATACAAATCACAACATGTAAATAGGAAAATGTTTGCGCTATTTTGTCACTTATTTGGATTCGTATGCTAGCTGCAACCATTTACATCCAGTCTTTGTGCTAAGCTAGGCTATCGGTGGGTGCGTCAGATAGAGTTACAGCACGCACAGAGATGGGTATGTATGGACTTATCTAACTCTGGGGGATAAGGTGAATAGGCTAAAGTCCCAAAAAGTCGGAGTGTTCCTTAAAGTACTTAGAAATGAACGCAGATTGAATCCAATGTAACCATGGATTTAATTATAGTTGCCTTGAGTGAGCCAAATGGATTTGCATCTCATACAACACAACATAGCCATGTAAAAAAAAAAAATTGGATAAATCAGATAAATTCCCTCATGGGACTTGTTTGAAGACTTGTTTCATAGAAAGTTATCTCTGATCTAAGCCTACCCATCTGATTTGGCATCCAGTTAAATGTGTGTTTTTCTGCACCACTGGCGTCAGCAAAAAGCCTGCTGTTCTTTGTACTTAATTACTGAATTATCTGTATTTAATTGTTGATGATGTGGCATGATTCAGGATTGTTCTTCAAAGCTCCTCTCAGATTTGCAGTTATAACAACAGGTCTGTAAGCTCAAAACTGAGCAGAAGTAGGTTTATTCAACTAACATGATTCGATTGCAGCTTTAAAAACAGTATATAAAAGACACAATTTATTCTACCATTCAAAGTTTGGTGTCACATCTGATCTGTGTTAGTGTTTTGCTTGAGTTGGACTTTACTTGCGTTAGTTTTGCGCTGTTCTCAATTCAGTTTCCGGTGATTTCTTTGTTCATGCTCTTCTGTTGCCATGGTTTTTGATTTGCACTCATGTGTTCCACCTGTGTCTTGGTAATTATTTTGTTTAGCCCCAGGCTGTGTCCGAAATCGCCCCCTATACCCTTAAATAGGGCACTATTAGAGGGGATAACCATTTGTAGGGGTGTCCGAAACCATAGTGGACGTTATCAAGTACACTCATTCAATCCCATAATGCACCAAAATAACGAGTGTACGACTGATGTATACTCAAAGGCTAGATACTACCCATAATGCACTATGAGGGTTGTGCTGAATGAATTCCTGCATCTTGCCAGAAGATTGCGCTCACAGCTGAATCATCCATCTATTTTCCGAACCCAATTTTGAACACATGTCCAGTGTGTCTGTGTACTTGTCTTGGTCTGATCTCCTCATTATGTAAGTGTTTTTTTTTTTTTTTTTTTTTTTTTTCGCGAGTTTTGTTTCCTGTTAGCCTAAGAAGTGTGTCCCTGGGTTTATTTTGATTACAAAGAGAAACTGCTTGCAAATAGATCAAGCTCTTTTGTTTTCATCTTTGTTTCCAACACCTGCATGACATTTGGGGGCGAAATGACACATTTATAAAGTTACAAAAGATTTATATTTCAAATAATTCTTGAAATTAATCTTTTGAACTTGAACCCTCTATTCACTGAAAAATCTTTAACAAATATAGCACAATCTCCACAAAAAAAGAAAAAAAGAAAAGTTTTCAGCATGTTTTCTACATTTATAATTAACAAATGTTTATTGAGCACCAAAATCAACATATTGGAATGATTTCTGAAGGATCATGTGAGACTGAAGACTGGAGTAATAGCTACTGAAAAATTATACTTTGTAATTGCAGGAATAGATTTTTTTTTTTTAAATATGTCAAAAAAGAACAGTTAAAATAAACAGTCAAAATAAATAGTTCTTTAAATTGTAATGATATTTCACACACAAGCCACACCATACACAGTATTTCGGAATTTCCACTCGGAATTAGTAAAATATTAGTTCATGGCAATTCAGATACAAACCGAAATACCCTTCAGAACAGTAGCCAGTACTTCTTCTTAAATGTCTCCATCTGTAAGCAGCTTAGATTTAAAGAACGAATGGTGGATAAAACTACCTGAAGTAGAAGGAGAGAGTGACACTTCTCCACTTTACTCTGATGTAAGTGAGAGGCGGTAAGTGATTTCCGGAGTCTTTCTACCGTTCCGTGCCTCTGCGACTGACAGAATTCCTAGCCCAGAGAGCTCTGATGCAATGGAGATGGATTACCAAGTCCATGTTTCTTTCTACCAGAGTGCCCATGGGCCCTGTGAGGTAAAAGTGTGGTGAATCGATATGAACTTCCTTTTCCTGGAAGGAATGGAGAAAAATAGCCTGACAGACTCTCAGAACTCTGATCAGATGCACCATTATTTTTAGCTTGTTTTGTTTTTGTCCGTCCATTCAAAGCGGCTGCATATTAGTGGTATACTTTGCTACAATGCATGTATCATCATGTGACTCAAACTCCTTTGTGCTTCAATCAGTGTCATCCAGTGGAGAGCTCTAGAATCAAGCAATCACAGTAATCATATGCTGCCTCGGGACTTGAGACGTGACCCGCAGGGCGGATGTCATACTTGTCTGTCACTCACAGTGTGCGGCGAATTATGAACTGAACGAAGGCTACTGTATAGAGCTTTTCAATTAAAAATTCTCAAAGGATTTAATTTGACACAATGGAGGCCCAGTTGGGTGTCATCAAAGACGGAGCCCCCTTTGGGGTACACCAAATTAGCTTGCAAAACTGAGTAAAAATATAAAAATACAACTCTGAGACCAGCAGAGACACAGACCTGAGCTTTTTACACTGATATCTGTCTCCAGCACTCATTCATCTCGGGTAAAATTATGCCCATTAGTTCATGTTGCTATGACAATCCAAAACAGAGAGTGCATTA